CTGCTCCAAAGGAGACAGAGAGGCACTTCAAACATTGATCAGGGTGTTTTAATCTCACTAAGATTAAGAGCCTTCCAGCTAATTGCAGAACAAAAGGCAGGAGGCAGCCGCTTCAGATCGTCATCATGATTAAGAAGAAATACAAGTGGATGAGCACACTTCACAGGATCACAAAGCCATTGATTTAAAGTCAAAGTCAAAGAAAGGAGAGATATAACATTAAATTAAAAGTTGTCTGAAAGAAAACTGCACTTATTTTCCACCCAATTTTCAAACACTTTCAGACACTAGAATATTTTGAAGGGGTTCTATAATCACACTTAAGATATACTCATAGTGTAAAATAGTATTTTTATTGGGTTCATGACCAAATACGCTAGGTTATATTAAAAAAAGGTAGATAACTAAATCTGCCGACCAGCTCTTCTGGGATTAGAAATTAGCATGTCATATTTCGTCATATTTCGTGGTGCAACCAATGGACCAGGAAGTTACTGGTTTAGGGTATAAAGTAGACGGATAAACGGATATTGCCTTTACGCTTTAGACTTTGTAATTGTTTGCTCATTGTAACAGCGTTGTATTAAACTAAACTAATCCACTGCTGTTTTGAGCTACATATTTACCATACTGACATGGGATTGGTATCAATCTTCTCAACTAGCTCTTGGGATCAAACCAAGTAAGCGTACTTTTCAAAATGTTAAACTACTTCAAGGGGTTTCCTACTCACTCAGCCAATGTGCTTCTGCAGGACTGTGTTGGTCTCCTCTGAATATTGATTGACGTTGCTGTTAACACGTGACATCACATTTACATTCAAATGTTGCATGGTGATTGGTGCACAGAAATACATGACATTATGTTTTCCGACAAATGCACGACCACATTAGAGCAGTCAGAAAGGATAAGACGAAAAGAAAAACACATCAATCATTTGGAAGAACCAAAACCAACCAATTGCATGTTGGCCTCATCGTTAATAGTAAGAAACTGATTGAGATCATTTTCAGGGACTTTAAATTATTTCTACTTCAGATCCTCTAAAGCCTTTTTTAAAACCCTCCAGTGGTCCCTCTACCGATCGATCTGTCTTCCAGCTTAGAAATAGACTTGTATGCATTCTTAATCAAATAAGCTGCTCTTACTTTATTAACTTGGACAAGCTTACTTGAGATAAGCCTGTCGTGTTAAGCCCGGCCTCAGAGGGGGAATCAGCCCCCGGAGGTGATGAGAGTCGACTCTGGGAGCCCAGATGCAAGCTTTAGGTCGCCGTGTTATTGTCTGAGGATTGGCCCGAGGCTCTGGAGAGAATCACTTCCTCTAATGGAAAACTATTGTCGGCCACTGAGGACATACAACTGTGTGGAATACGGATCAGCCTATCTGGACTTATGCACAAGACAGAATGAAGCTCTCTATCCGATAGGAAGCTATTTTGGAATTGTAATATCCACTGAAGTCGATTCTGATTAAGCAATACATCTTGAATGGACTGTACTCTTGTCTAGGCTGGGTGGTGTTTTCCAGCTTTGAGGCGATGCATACAGAAAACCAAAAAAACAGCAGAATGGGGAAGAGAAAAATAAAGCTATTTCCTAGTGCACTGCCCTATATTTCAACACAATGGTTTTACACCTCTAAAGCTGTCATAACAATGCAACAATAAGGCACTTGGTGAATTATTTATTCCTTTGAGTGCATGGGATATAGGTTAATGAGCACAACAATATGAGATTAGAAGTGTCTTTGAGAGACAAATGATGTCAGGCCCTTAGCATATTGCATTATTTATTTACCTATCCTGGCTAAATAGGCGCCGTCTGATGTAAGTGGTAGAGATATCTCATCAAACAATGGTTTTAAATCAACCAAGACACAGGGTGGGTTCAGAGTCAGTCCACAGCACTCCTGTGTTTATGTCAAATGTATACTGAGTGGGTAAAGGAAATATCCTCCGACAAATCGTCCCAGCGGGAGAGGAACTCCATGCCTCACGGTTTACCTCGGGACCTTCCCTGTCTCCTGAAGAATGACGATGTGTGATACATGTTTTGTCTTTTTCCCGTCGCAACAGGTCACTCCATCTCTTCCCCCGCAGGATTCACCTCAGTTCAGACTGTGAACCTTTTTTAAATCCACCGTTCGCCCAAGGCGAGATCCTTCCTTCTCGGGATTTGTTTTTTTGCACCGTGTGGCCTTGAATGTCTGGATTGAAGCATGTGTACGTTTTGTCAAATCTGTTAAGAGAGGAAAGAAGAGAACAATTAACAGATTGAGCTTGAAAAAAAGGGAAAGAAGAATTCATTGTAAATATGTTCCATCTGCAGAAAGTTGTGAGCTCTTCTCCTTAACCAGTAACCACTGAGCTCGTCTCAAAACAAAAGCACCATTCAAGCTGAGAATACAAACAGCCACTCACACCTGGAAGGATGCATCTCAGATAATTGAATGAGAGGATCAAATAGCAAAGGACTTTTAAGGACAACTTAAAGGACTACCCTTTTTTCACATTCTCGTATCAGTATTTGGCGAATGCAATAAGTCAGGCATTGCATTTCTTCACTTAATACAAGCACAGGGGGATCTTTTTCAAGGTCCAACAACAACAACCCCGTTGTGGTTCAGATGACACTGAATGCTCTCACACACTAATTGCAAAAGCTCAAAGTGAGGCAGAGAGTCCAGCAGGACAGGAATCCCCTTGGGGGGGTTTGAGGTATAACCGGAAAGCTGAGGGTCGCACATTTAAACTAGGGGTCGATTCTGGAGGATTTCACAAGCTCCAGGAAAATGTTTTCAAAATTAAACTTCCATCAAGAGAACATCAAATTGCCTCAAAGTGACATTCATATTTGATGTGTCATGATAACCCTGTGTCCTCTGTAGAATATTTCATCTTAGGATTCCTAAGGTACTGCAAATCGACACCTTAAAAAGTCGGACCATCGTCTGAGATATTCTCCAAGGGTCAGCCCTGCATCTGTAGGAAATCTGTTGGACTTGTTGTAAACATAGCCCTAACACTTATGTAACTGCTTGCCCTTTATAGTTTGGCTCAATACAATATATATCCTTATCATGGAAAGGACAGTTCAATTGATCTGGTCGGACATCAAGGAACCTTTTCTAGAATTTTTAAAGGACTTCTGATTGTTTCTTAAAGCTCAGATATCATATTATTTTTGAACCAATGGTTTCAGTACATATATGTTCTAAACATACTGAAATATTTAAATGATTCATATTTAATTATTCATAAAGAAAAGATAAATCAAGCCAATGGCCATTTCGATTTGGAAACCTTTGAATAAATTCAATGGTGGCAAGATTGAACCTTGTCATTTTGAATAGATCTAACGCATTTGACCCTTATTTGAGTTTCAGTATGTCAATGCGTCAATATGTATACAATGTACAAAAGATACAGCTCTATTAATACTTTAATGGACTTTGACTGCAGACTTTTCAGGGATCTTTTCAAGGATCTTTTCAAGGATCGTCAAGGGTCAGCAGATTTGACGTTGTTTCACTACTTTTGACCCTTACGTTAAGGTTCAAGGTTCAAGGTTCAAGGTTCTTTATTGTCAATCTGACATAGCTACAGAGTAATTATGTAGTTGAAAATCTTATGTCACAGGCTTCTCCAACAATGCAACATAATAACATAATAACAATAAGAGCAAGAGCAATACAAAAAGAATAATAGTTATAAAATAAAATAAAGTGATGATGTGGAATAGTGCAGTACGAGTCTATATACAAGTTATTGGAATGATATATATATATATATTAGGTATTAGATACATACTACTGAGTAGCAGATGAATGTTTGAAGTTGTTTCAACAGTTCAATTTTACCCCATACTTTGGACATATCTCAATGTTTACATGCAGAGCATAGACATCTGAAATATGATGCAGGATACAACATACCTTTAGCACCAGTTATATCATCGGACGGATGGCTTGGTCCAACAGGGACAGCGACCTAGAGAAGAATATAAATAAACACTATGAGTATAGAAGTTCACAACATGAACAACTTATTAACAAATGCCAAGAAACATTATCTTTTATATATCAGAGGATATCATTTATCAAAGTCTTAGGATATAGTTATTTCACTACACAGCTTGTTGAAATATTACTGCTATTTATCATACTTTATCACAGTTTCTTTATTACAGACATCTAATTATTCCCAGCTTTGTGACAGGAAAACATATTACATTTAAGTTTAGAGGGTTTATGTTCTACTACGTTAGGGGAGAGGTTAAACTGGGTCAGGTTGTTTACCTTGTGGGACGGAGGTCTTTTTTAACAGCTACTGCCATCCTCTCTCTGCGGAGGTCAGCTGGGGGTCATTTAGAGTCTCTTTAATGGACGGGGCAAAGGCAGGCTCTTTAAACGACTGGGAGAGGGTCACATGACCGAAGGAGAACAGAAAGAGCAAAAGAAGAAGAGAGAGAATCCCCCTGAACATTGGCCTAGAGGTCAAGGAGGCTTTGAGGCGTTTCTGTCGGGGTAAACACTCACAGAGTTAATGTGTGTTTACTGATGATGCTTGACGTGATCAGCGTTCACATCGAATTATATGAACAAACACAGCGGATAGGGTTTTTCGAGAGTGTCGTTATCGCTAAATCCTTTAAATGTCAGTCGGAGAGATTTCCTCCAAAATGAATCACATGGCGTTCAAATATAAACAGGACAGCGTTCTTATCAGATCACCAAGGTCGTCTGCAAGGTATAGCGATTTGACATCGGCCGTTTCAATGTTTTTTAGTTATGCCATCTTAACACCAAACATGTTCTCACTTCATTAAAATCGTTCCAATTTATTCCAGACTTCTTTTTAATGGATAGATATTCCAAATGAACCAGCGTTTTCATTAAGGGTTTGTTAGTTTAAATTATGAGTCTTTTTATGAGTCCATAATTATTCTCTCGAACACAAGTTGCTTCTTTCAAAATGTTTATTCAGCATCAACAAAGAAGAAAATATTAAAGGGCTTACATAAGCTTAAAATCATTATAAATAAACATATCTCTATATGGAAATGATTACCAATTCCCCAGCATGTGATTTAGTCTCTTAAAATTAAATTGGACGCCTACAAAGTCATAAAAGCATCTGGTATTAAATAAAAAAATGACAGCAAATATACTTGTGAAAAAAATCTGTAAAATAAAAAGCTGTTTGCAGCTCGAGTGGTCGGTGTACATATCGGTATGAGCAGCTATTTATAGACGTGTTAAAGTGGATGTTTTGGGATAATAATCATGAACACAACTACATAGGCTTTTTCAGAATAAAACAGCTGACAATATCCACAGTTGCACACCATGCTTTTATAAGCCCTTTAACACTAAATAACTATTATCTTACAAAAAGGAGGAAACAACAAAACAATATGTGTACAGTATGATTTTTTTCTTCTTCAGTTTGTAAATGTTTCATTTACAAGGGACACAATTTCACCAATTACCCCTCAGAAAAAGATATCTACAGTTACTTCACTTTTCCTAGAACTAAGCTACTACATTTTAAAGTGATCAACCACGCAGTTCAAGGTTTGAAGAATAGTGGGTGATCAATTAAGTTGCACTGACAGCTGTGTAGAGTCATTGTATCGACAGCTTCTAGTGATTTAAGTCAAATAGCTCGGTACAACTTCGTACTTCACAATCACACAGCTGAGAGAGAAACTTAATGTACTATGGAGTCTTAATCTCAAAGTCTAGTCGATTTCTCCCGGAGGAGAGCATAGATTACCTAAATTGCTTAATAAATTGTACCCAGTGGGGGTATACTTTCTTTTAAACAGGGAGATGCCATATTTGGAAACCAGTTTTTACTCATTCAGGGTCTCACGGTTTATTTTGCGGTTTAGTTTTCGATTCTATAAAGGTGGGAGCGTCCATAAAAAATCCATTACTTGGGTTGAAACAGCCATGAGGACTCAGGTGCAGGATGTATAAACAGTTCAATATCTGGTGTACGGCTGATCTCTGTACACTCCCTTGGTTGTTCGTGCCGGCGGTGCCTTGCTGCGGTTGTTGGCCCACTCTTCCTGACCTGATTAGGAAGAGAGGAACAGAACAGATTGGGGTGATTAAAGCATTCATTCAGAACAACATGTGTCTTTCAAGCTAAACAAACATTATAGATAGATAGATAGATAGATAGATAGATAGATAGATAGATAGATAGATAGATAGATAGATAGATAGATAGATAGATAGATAGATAGATAGATAGATAGATAGATAGATAGATAGATAGATAGATAGATAGATAGATAGATAGATAGATAGATAGATATAGATAGTTGTGAGCTCTTCTCCTATTTAACCAGTAACCACTGAGCTCGTCTCAAAACAAAAGCACCGTTCAAGCTGAGAATACAAACAGCCACTCACACCTGGAAGGATGCATCTCAGATAATTGAATGAGAGGATCAAATAGCTACTTGAAAAGGACCCGTTTAGTGGCTCCCAGCAAAAAGGTCACAATTACCATTAGTCCAAATCAGCCCCCTGTTCACCCCCTGGTACTCTCAATGTGAAAGTGCCTCTATCGATGGCACCCTTTGTCTCATCTGCAGCCATCTGAGGCTTCCCCAGAGCAAAGGCTCACAAAGGCTTGTTGTCTCTCTCTGTGCAGGCTCTCTGCCGGCAGCACACGGCAGAGAGCCCTTAATTAAACCTGTCAACCTTTCTCTGACAGTCACTTTGAAGAAAGAGACCAAGGTAACCTTGTGTTTCGAGAACAAGGATGCACATCAACCCTGTTCATCTGTTGTCTTTGAACTGTCGCCCTTTTGCTGTGTGACCCATGCGGCAGCGGTTTATATTTCATGCTGAGGTACGACGCGCTCTAATGAGTAGAAGGTGCTTAGTTCTTTCTTTTCAGTGTTAGGAAAAGTTGGGAACGTTTTTATTGGCTGAAACTACATTAACATTCCTACGAGCCGACTGTCATCAACACGTTTATTGACGCGAAGATATCCTTTTAATTATGGTATCAGTTTGTTGTCAGTCTCTAACTAAAGATGTTTTAATAGGTTTCAATTTAATAAATAATCCAAATGACAACACACACGTATTTTGCTTTAACTTATTATCATTAAGTCAATGTTGACTGCACAATATAATGGATGTAGAATAATGACAGCAACTCGCTCTCACTGCAATCTCCCAGGAATATCCAGACTTCATTATGACACAAAGGAAATGCATCAACTGGGCTTTTGTTTCCCGTTAGTGATCGGTAGTTATTGATGGCTACCTACGTTACCAAAGAGTATCTATGTGAAATCACTGCAGTTACTATCCCCGGATAAATCAGGTGAACAAAGTACATCAGGGCCCTTTGTTTTTGTGCCCTGATGAAAATGAAAACTGATCAGGTTGTCTTTGCGAAACGAGTGACAAATGCTGTGTCTCAATTCAGATTCTTCCCTTAGTATACTGCTTTCTGTGCACTATCAAAACGTATGCAGTTAGTGATTTATGACTGTGAAGTGTCTCAAACCCACGCACATGCTGTGCTCTCAACATAAGTGACAATTGCCACTGTAAGATACTATATCTAATTCACGGTAGCAAACCGGTACAGATTGCTCAATTAACCAGTGGCTTCAATTTGACACCAGTGGTAAGTTACTTAAATAGTGAAAAAAAAACACATGTATAAGTTCTTTTTTTATAGTTCTGTGTCTGAAGCAACTGCAACCGCGGCTAGTCACAATTACCAAGAAGGCGATTGTTGAGTATAAAAGTGTTCAATGTTCCACATCGACTGTTGTGCACCGACAGAAATGCTAGAGAGATGCATGTTATTTACGTTTGCTTTCTCTCATTCCAGGCTTCCTGATTATTTTCACCTGTGTCTCCTGTGCTCATCAATGTCAGCCCCGCCCCGGATTGGTCCCACCTGTGTCTAGTTACCCTGTGCTTATATTCCCCTGTCTCCCAAGTGTTCTTTGTCAGTTCGTATTGTCTCTTGCTATGGTCAGGTCTATGCTCTTTGTACTCTTGTAAAGTTTGATTCCTCACTACGTGAGCGCTTTCATTTTGTTCCTCTATTTTTGTCATCTCGGTTAGAGATTTGATAGTTACCTTTTTTGTTGTTCATTGCTGTATTTTGGAAAATAAAGTATCTTACTAATACTTTACCTCTGTCTCCCGGGTCGTGCAATTGGGTCCTACATCCTAAGTGTCTGAGTTCGTAACATCGACTCATTGACTGAGTGCACCATTCAGGTACTCATAGTGCACCAAATGTTGAATTTGGACGCAATTATGCATTAAAACAGCAGATCTAGTTACATAAGTATGCAATTTTAAACATAGCACTATACTACCACTTAAAAAAGATAAGGGGATTGAAACGTTGCTGTTTCCAATGTAAGTTATATTCCTCCACCAGCCAGACTCTAGCATTTGACCGAGATAAAGAGTTTATCTCGTATTTCCCAGTTCACAAAAAGGCTACAAATCCACTCTTTGAGATGGATCAACCTTCAGCTGTACAGCAGCAAAGTTTACCGGATATCAGTGTGTATGAGCTCATTCAGGAACTCTGCAGCAGACATGACCTTGGCCCACTTTTAACTGTATCTTGTCAAAGGTTGACACAGTATTGTTGAACTATCTAAAACGGTATGAGCTTTCTCTGAACTTTGTGGCAACTGCGGTTCTTTCCAGACACGATGAACAACCTCTAAACCTGAGAGTGGTTCTATTTAGCTGACATTACTGCGAGACTGTGACACTTGAACACATCCATTTGGTTTGGAAAGTGCATACAGCTGTTAATTGGGGAAGTAATATATGGTGAGGTTGATTATGTTGTTAGCCTGTGATAGCCAGGAATACATATACATGGGATTCCTGTGTGTTAGCTTCAGCTTTAGATATTAGCATTCTGGCAGGCTGGCTATTATATTTTTGATGGCTTTGAAAACTAAACGTGTTAAAAAATATAAGTATTTATTTTGGTAAAACAAACTTGTGGTTGTTATTGTATCATAAAATAATGTATATTCTTTGGTATTAGGGGATTCTTTGCAGACAAAAGCTAAATTAAAGTATGAAATTAACATTTTAGAAAATCAAATTAAATCAAATGTAATATTTTTGGTGGGATTACCTGTGATTAAGTGAAGATTGTGACTTAGTTAATTGGTTTTCAATTGAATTATTCTCTCCTAATGACCCAAACAAATTGTAGCAGAGTCCTGATTCACAATGTGTATTCCACCTATTGATAATAACAACAAAACCAACATACTTGCCATTTTAGATGTGACAATTGCAGATAGAAAACTGTAAGTAAGCCTGCGTTTAGCTTTAAATGTCGGCCTGTAATACCATGCCCTACTCCAGATAGCATATGGGTCAACACTACTGAACTTCTAATCAAATACTTTGAAAGTCCTTTTTTAAATGTGTCTAAGACATCACACAGGAAGCAGATGCTACGACAAGTGAGATGAGACCAGCTGTGCAGAGACTAGAAATTGATGTTCTGACAATTAATTAACAGGAGATATATCTGAAGAAGAGAAGCAACTCACCATAAGATTCATACGATTCCCCACTGGCGTCGTAATCATAGTAGTCATCTGAGCTGTAAACAGATGTAAAAATAAGGTGAATAAATATGGAATAAAGGAAAAAACAACATGACATTCTGCAGCAGTAACTTTCAGTATGATGGTGGAGCATCAAAGGAATATTTATCATGATGCAATCACACATCATTTCCGCAATAAAGTCAAACACACAGGAGGAGTTCTGGTAAAAGTAAAAAGCAAACTCTCAAAACTTCCGACACATTTCAGGCAATTTTCTGCACAAACATGCAGTTCCATTTCGCTGCATATGGAGATCTATTTGAGAGGTGGCAACTTTAATGAAAAATAAAAAAAAGGCGAGTGTGGAGGCGAGTTGCATAGCGGTTCATCTCTTCCCCCTTTTTTTTATTTATTTGCGGTTGCCATCGAGATGCTGACAGAACAATCCTGCGTCAGAGTCATTCAGTAACAGCGCTATCATTCAAGAGAGGCAATTCATCATAAGGCTGCCACTGAGCCGACAGCAGCCATCACAGCTGTTTCCTCTCTCTCTGTCAGTCACTTTATCCCCGGATTAAAAAGCTGAAGGCAGCGTCCAAAACCCCCGAAACACCACATGAACACCCCCGACTGCTGAAGGCAAAGAGGTGACAGTAACGACCCGCCACAGAGGGAGGAACGGACATTTATACTGCGGACGCTGGACTCCAACACTTTTGGAAATGACCAATTATGTTTAGTTTAGTTTATTTGTTTATAGTGTCGTGGACAGTCCCCATTGATCAACTGTCACAAAAAACTGTAAATGCAGCAGCTTTAGCCGACATTGCTAATGTCCCGCACCACTATGCATTAGGGTTATTAGTTCAAAACGTTCTTAAAATGGCGTGAACGGATTATTATTCAAGATTAAAGATTCAAAGGTTTTATTGTCATATGCACATACTGTAAGCTACAGGGTAGAAATGGCAATGAAATGGTTTTGACCCGAGTTCCTCCAACAATGCAACACATAGTTTCTGGCCCCTTTTGAACATGACAGAAACTATTTGAGTATTTATTTTTTTATACCTTTGTTATATTTATTACTATTTGTTTCCAACATGTTCAATAAATTGACTAATAAAACAAATATATATAATAAAGTACAAAAATACATATAAAAGAAAAAATAAATTGTGCAAGGAGTGTATAAACATGTAAATAGAATATGATACAAGAACAGAATGTGAAATTAAATATTCTACATTAAAGGGGACCTATCATGCAAAATGCACTTGTGTACGTCTTTTCTACATGAATATGTGTCCCCGGTGTTCCAGGGAACTCACCAAGTGTCAGAAAACACAACCCTCTCTATTTTCCTCCATACCCAAATCTCTAAAAAAGGGGCTGCAACGGATCTGATAAAAACTGATCCAGATTTGAACACTGTCCTGACGTCAGGACGGTGGCGCTACGGCTATTGGGCCAACTCCACCAATCAGGAGGAGACAGCCACGGCCATTGCCGTTCGAAAGCGCTGGAGACGCTGTAGTACATATGCCAGGCCTGTAGATGGTGCTGTTCTCACAGAATCTGCCCTTGCAAAAACAGAGCTAACATTTTTCAAATTGAGCAAAATGAGGCATGGCTAAAATGCATGATCTGTTTGGTATTTTGAAAAAAAAAAAGTATAAATATGCCTTATATAGGTATGGTCCTACACTATATTATTCAAATATAGTATGATAGGTCCACTTTAAGATACAATTAAATACGGTTTATTGCGGTGATAACTATTTAGATATAATAGTTACACTTTGAGAGAGGTTTGTTTGCACAAGAGAAGATGCACAATCTCTAAGACTGTTAGTAGTAATGTAGGAGCCAAAATGCTTGTTTTGCCATTACTTATTACTTCTATTATTATCTTCATTTCCGTTTGCATCACGTTTAATTCTTATTGTTTATCACTTCCGGCAATGGTCACGTGGGTGTGGTTTATTGGTATTTACTGTAGGCCACCTGTTGGATGCCGGTTTTGGGGATATGACGTAGGAAGAGGGTGAATTTGCTCTAATACTTTCTGTTGACCGTGTGGTCTGGAGTTGTATATTGTTCGTTTTTCGTTTTATGAAACACTATGGAGTACAAATGACTACGGACTCTTACATGGAACGCGTCACAGCTAAGAGCAAGTTTTGGCATAACTGGTCTACCTATGCTGTAAAAGGTATTATCTCTTGGATTTACAGACGGCATCTATTGCACGTCTGTCCGTCCTGGGAGAGGGATCCCTCCTCTGTTGCTCTCCCTGAGGTTTCTCCCATGTTCCTTTAAACTGTGGGGTTTCTCTGGAAGTGTTTCCTTGTACGATGTGAGGGTCTAAGGACAGAGGGTCTAAGGACAGAGGGTGTCGTATTGTCATACTGATATTCTTTACAAACTGTGAAGTCCACTGAGACACATGTAACATTTGTGATATTGGGCTATATAAATAAACATTGATTGATTGATTGATTGATAACTCATAGGGAGTTTTTGCCGCTACAATTAGTAATAAGTCAGCATGTGTTGCTCCCGCTTTGCAGCATAGTTACTGCACTAGTTGTTAAAAAAAAATATTGTAAGCATATGTATTCATGTATGAATTGTTTGCGCGGGCGATTAATGCAGTCGTGTGTTTTTTTTTTTTATCTGAAAAAAGTGTCCTCACCACTTTTTCTAACTAATCGTAACGGAGGACATTTCACTCCCGTTACTTGAGGAGCTTTTTGCGGTGTGATGTTGAAAAGCCCAACGGCAGGTCTGAGAGTCTGAGACACTCCGCTCCTCTATCGAATTACACCACAGTTTGCAGCACTCCAGGAAATCAATCTCTGCTAATTCTGTCCGCTATTAAGTCTGCTTTCACTGAGCAGGAGCTGCTGCATAGAGAGAAGCTGCAGAGTAATGAAGGTTTTTATTAGTCTTCACATCAGTCTTTCCTAACCCTAATTCCATCAGTTTAAGTACCCTATGTTTATACGTTTCTGTTCCTGTAGTCTATCAGAAAGAATTCAAATTGATTCTGTATATTTTATATTGAGTATTCTTTAGATACAGCAAATGCATTCAAAAGTTAATATTATCCTCTGTATATCAATGCAACACACTGTCAATCACTTGAATAGGGACTATTTCTTCAGCAGAAAGTAGTCCCAGTAATTTTTTCCCCCGTTGTGTTATCCAGGGGAAATGGGACATTGAGTTTTTACAAACAATGGCGTTCACCAGCATTGTACTATAGGGTGGAGGAAACATAAACCCAGGCAGCTCAACTGGAGTTTATTTTGCAGTGCTTATAACAAGTTAAGAAACATTTGCTTTCTTGTATTGTGAACTGATCCTTTATTTGGCAGCCATCCAACAAGTCATAATTCCTCACAACAACACAACAACAACAACAACTGATTGGTTGTTTTATAGATTTCTGCAACAATTTATCGTTGAGGATGAACACGATCCATTGAGGACAGTCGGAGGAATGGTTTTAAAGCGCGATGGCGGCTCAATGAGACGTGACACAGCTCCCTGAAGAGGTTCTGGGTCTTAAGTCAGGGTTAGCACAGTTCATAACTCAACTACAAACAATGCCAAACCAGTGGAAGCAAACACCCCCCCCCCCCCCCCCCCCCCCCCCCCCCCCCCCCCGTGGTAATGAAGTCTCCCTTCAAGAAGCCAGCTGCTGTTTGCTCTTATTCTTCATTAAGGCCCCCATTAGCACTAGCATGAGCATTGGCTATTCTTCCTGGGGTCCTCACACACACAAAACATACATAAACATACATCGAACAAAACAGCTCATAATCATAATCGGTTCTTGCACAATAATATCCTGCATTATATTTGTTACTGGAAATTTGTATCACATGTATATTTTCCACATGTATATATATATTTTATTTTTTAATGCTATTTTAATTATATTCTGAAATATTTTGGACTGTTTATTTCTTGCGTCTTAATTTCTCTTATGTACTTGTGTTTTTTATGCTGCTGCAACGCAAACATTTCCCATCTATCTATCTATCTATCTATCTATCTATCTATCTATCTATCTATCTATCTAAATTATGTGTGATTGCATCATGATAAATATTCCTTTGATGCAATTTACAGTACTACATGAAATGAACACTTTGTTTTGGCCATCATAAGGCCAAACTAAATAATACACACATACCCAAAGGCACAGTTCAAGTATACTTTATAATACTGAGATAATTCTTTAGCAACGTTTTGAAATGTACTTGAGAATTTTCCTGAACGATATGAAAAACTAAAAAAGATATGTTAATAATTTTGGGAGAAGGGATGGAATTAAATAAGTGTGAACTTCTTCCCACCTCTTTTCAGATGTGTAATTAAGTAGATCATTTGTTTGTATATCATTTAGAATCAGTAATATTGTTGTATATCAACTTGACACTGCTTAATTTTGTATTGTATAATAATGATCATGTTCAATTTCATTATAATTATAATTTGTTTGTATTATTGTTTTTAGAGAGAGAGAGAGGGAGATGTTTTTTTTTAGATTTTTGAAAACACTAACTAGACATTGAGAGAAGATTTATCTTAGATTATTTTTTTAAACATAAAAACAGAGTTAAAACCGAGCTCTCCCTCCACCACAGAGCACACAGCTGTAGTGAAACACCACCGGTTAAAAAAGAGAGAGAGAGAGAGAGAGAGAGAGAGAGAGAGAGAGAGAGAGAGAGAGAGAGAGAGAG